GGTTCGATATTCGTCCGTCTTCCAGGTTTATGATCATAGCGTTCCTTCGTATTCCCAAATAAACTATTTTAAAATCATAAACAATTCCTGAATACGTTTCTTTCTTAACCATTCTTTCCCCTATTGTGCATTCAATTTCGTGCTCACATGAGGTTGGTGTGCAATCCCGAACTTTAAGCGTTTTCTCTTCTCATTTTTACGACGTCGATGCGAGCCCAGCTTTATGAAGGGCGAATGAACTTGTGCAGTAATTTTCTTCCTTCGCTGCACTATCAGCCTTCGGATTATGTTTTTCGTCTACACGTTTCAGCTCCAAAATGCCTTCTAAACATGTCTTCATGAATATTCCTCTGAGTTGAACTGTCTTAGGCAAAATATGGAATGCCTGCTAACCTTAAAATCTACAGTATACGTGCACCCATGATGAGCTGATCAGCACCCCCAGCACAATAACCAATTGGATATTAGCCTGGGTTTGACTTTCCTGTGAACGACATTGGTTGAACAAGAGAACAACATCTTCCACAGCTTTGCCATTTCTTGACTTCTCTGCACTTCATTCGGCATGTTTTATCGACTTTCGCTTCCATGTCGATTTTTTTGTATCCGGTATTGCACTTTAACACACTACAGCTGCTTTGCATGTTCTCCAGATGCCTTCCATCAGTTTCATTGTGGTTTTGATTGACCACCACCCTGATGATGTGTCAGTGAAAGTGTTAGAAATGTAGTTGCCTTCATTTCCTTCAGATATCCTCCTCAGCATTCATCGCACTCAATTTTGCTGAGCTGAGCTTTCCATGGTATAATTTAAGCGTCCTCAAGCCTCTTCAGTAATGGACGATGATCGACGTACATCCATAAGACAGTAAGGGTCTCGTATCAAATTCTGAGTTACTGTTCAGTTTCAGCTCTGCCTGTTAAAATTTCCTCATTAGTTTCGTTGAAATCTTCATACGACTCCGCTGACATGACCCCAGTTAATGCAGTCATTCTTTCATTGTTGATTTTTCGTCAAATTTTGGCAAACAGTTCAGCGAAGTTCAATAAGTTATCACTGCCATGGCCTCCTCAGTACTACCAAACTTCTTCATATGCTGATTTCAAAAAGAAGATATCATGAAGGTTATAATAATAACGGATAAATAAAGGAACGATTAGAAGCTTAGAAATAGTATATTTGTGAAACGTTTTGTGGGTTCCAAAGGCTCTGCTTAATAAATATATTATTTCCAGGCTTCTAACCATTTATTTGTTTATGTTTTTGCGACTTACAATTTGATAGCTTCATGGCCGTTTTCATGATACCTCAGCTATCTTTTCCTGTTTTTTGAATTTAATAATTAATTATTACATGATAATTTAAATGATCGATGCAAGCTCTTTTGATCTGTAGTCTGGGCAACCGTCATGTAGGACGGAAGCATGATAGCACCACCAACAGTGTATGGGGCGAAATTCGATTCGCCAGTGAAAGTAAATGACAGGACCAGATGTCGTATGAAGTGTCCACCGGATTTTTGCCGAAGTAGCCGGAGGTGCTCTTGGGACGGACCCGGTCGCAGTGACTGCTTCCACTCCCTCCCGCAAAAGGAAGGTAGGACTGATTAAAGAGGATCAAGTTCTAATGTCATATTTTCTCAGGCGCAGTGTGGTTAGTAGCCAGGATTATTAGACAGTGGTGTACAAATCAGTTATTGTTCCTCAAAGCCGGAATTCGCGTTCTTTCGAGACAACTACTTAAGATAATTTTGAGCTTGAAACAGGTCAGTTTTCAGCATAGCGATAAGTTCGACAGCAACCTGGTAGTAGCAAGAAGGAAGGATTTGGTAAGGCGATCTCTGCTGATAGATTTCATGGCAGGAATAATAGATTATGTTGATTATTCTGAGTTTTTAGAACGTACTTTATTATTAGCCGTTTCTACCGTTTGCTGCATTCCCTGGACATATACCAGAATCGGAATGACACAGAAAGAATTATACGTCAGAATAATACGTCTGAATGATACATCTGAATGACGTAGATCACTGCCACCAGAAAGGTTGAATCGAACAGTTCTTTCTTCGCCCATATGGATAACGCGGTCTCGAGTAATATTGTAATTCGGCCAGAGCGGCTTCTTTTTCTGCTAGGACCTCTTGATGAAAAGTTTGGAAGTAATAATAATAATATTTATATTCTTTTCCTTCCAAGCATTGTTAACCCAGACTATCATATACGTCGGTTTGATCAAAAAACGTTCTTTCTTCAATTTTTCCTGCTTACAGCCTTTAAAGAAATTATCTTTTCTTTGTGCTTTTAAAACACACTTAATTGCTGAATTTAAAAGCATTGCTAACGTTTTACTGCAGTTCATTTGCTGGATTATAAAACCATCGAAATAACGCTTGAATGAATC